CGCAGCTTTTGGTGTGCATACAGTTCAAATTCAAATTTTTGTGTTTTAAAAATACAACAACCGTTAATTTTACGGGTTAAAAAAGGAAAAACGAATGGACACAAAAGTACACGGATCAATGGGTAATTTTAAAGCTTGTTAATGATTAACTTTAAACCTGTTGGTAGCTTTAAGTACTGAAGTAGCCTACCTGTATTTTTTTGTAGTGTTTGAATAAAGGGTGGCAGTCTTTCATAATCAACTGTTGTTGTGGACTATATAGAGTACTGGAGAAGTATTTGTTCTCCATTTGAGTGAGATGTTTTTAGGTTGCTAATTGAGCAAAGTGCTTCCATATATTTTATTAGTATTAGTTCAAGAATAAATTAGAATAAAATAAAATAAAGATATCGGATTGATATCGGTATCGGCAAATAGCCAAAGCTGCGGCATCGGCATCGGTATCGGAAGTGAAAAAGTGGTATCGGGACATCCCTAATTGAGAGCATATGACATAATTTAGATATATTTTTTAAGATGGAAGAATGCGGTTTTACAGATACTAGAAACTTGACTTTCAAATGAAAGATTGGTATCAAAGAGCACACCCATGTTCCTAACCGACGACGAAGACTTGACAGAGCAGCCATCAAGTGTTAGACAGCATTCTAGGTTATTACGTGAGGAAGTTTTTTGTCCAATAATTAGAATCTCTTTTTTTTTCAGAGTTAAGTAGTAGGAAATTACTCGTCAGCTTACTAGTTTTGTGAGCTATGAAAGAATTAATATTTTCATCTTGACTCTATCTAAGTTTTCTTTTTCTCCACCACTCTCTTTTCCCTTCACTTCTATTCCCTATTTTCTTTTCTTTTCCCTTTTATTATTGAATTTTGAGTCAATCATGTCAGATTTTCCAGACAATGCCTTTAAAGGTTGCTCAGTAAGGAGCAGTGCACCCTGTCCCCATATGAATCGTAACCTTTGTGGTCAGCCTGGTTATTCTTCTGTATAATGACTGAGCTTGAATCCTTTCAGGCTTTCTGAAACACAGATGACAAAATATCTGTCATGGTTGGAATCATTGCCATGGTACCGCTAACTGCTCCGGGAGTCGTGCTTTGAACGAAAGTTTTGCCGATTGTGTTTGTGTTTAAGCGTGCTCACGTGTGTGTGTGTGTGTGTGTGTGTGTGTGTGTGTGTGTGTGTGTGTGCGCGGTCCTGGTATTCCCCACAAGGGTAGTAATACCAGTAATCTTTGACCTTGTTGGGAATTTTTTTTAGTCCCCATCAGGAAAACAGCTTATAAATCATATGAAATTAAGATTTTTTTTGAAAATGTAAAAATGCAGAAAGTTTTCTGTGATGGGCAGGTTTGTAGATAGGGGATAGAATATATATACGTAGTTTGTACAGAATAAAAAAATCATTATGTCTTTGAAAAGTCCCCATAAAACTTGGAAACTGTGTGTGTGTGTGATGACTCTGACACCAAATGTTCATTACACATTTCATTTTAACGATTGAATTCTTAATTCTGTCATTTAGTTTTGATACTGTAGTGTTTTATAGTGTTACATTTGCCACTGATATCACAGCTATGATGAAATCATGTATGATAGCTACCAGTGAGAGTGTTAGATACTGTAGATATTACTTTGAATTCATATATGGCATAAAAAATTCAGACAGCAGTAGAAAAATATTGGAGATCTAAAAATTTTAAATGTAAAAATTTTATGTAACTCTAAAGTCAGTTGTTTTAAAATTCACAGTGAACCTGTGAGGAAGCTTTACTAAGTATGATCTGAATAACTGACATTTTATTGGTTATTTCAATTAAATTGCCCCCTCTTACGGTTGCCTCCGATCCCCTACTGTTTTGTCTAGTTAGGACCAATAATGGCGAACACTTTTATAGAAACTCTGGTCTCATTTTAATTGATATTTTGTTTGTTTTGGTGAAAATGCTGGTTGTTTGCATTTCACTGATTTCATTAATTTATTTTTCCGTAAGCACTTAGCTTCTTATCCTGATCCACTCGCTCACATTTTCTGTTTAAGTCAACATCTCTAACCTTGCTAGATGTTGTAATAACATTTTATCATGGTCCATGGTATGCAGTTACTCGTTCAAAGGGATGTGACCCTGGAGCCAGAGAGCGTGTAAGAGAATAAACATAATGATATCTTATCGTCTATAATCTGTGTTACTGCCTATGTCTGACATTCACCTCTGTGTCCTCCTGTGTGTTTAGACAGTGCATTCATCACTATGGGTCCAATGACGACCTTCTCTGAGACCTATACCACTGGATCATGTCTATCTCATAATCACTTACTCTGTCTCTCTCTCTCTCTCTCTTTCCCAGAACAACCATGTATATCGCTTTTTCTCTGTTATTCTTCCTCCCAATCCTTTTTAGTTGTACAAAAGTTATCCTCCCTCACCCCTCTTCCTTTCTTTCTTTAGCATGACAGCCGTTTACTGGAGCATTATTACTCCCTGTATAAGCCCTTCTTTAATTAGACACCAATTTGAACGGATTTACGCTTTTTCACATGCCAAAACATTCATATTGGCTGTTTATCCCTGTGGTTAAAGGGCATAGCTGTCAAACTGACCACAATTCATGCCGATATTAAGTGTTTTGCAGTGAACTGAGCTGCCCGGCGTAGCTCCGTTCCCTCCGAAATAACATTGGCTAACTGGTGATTAAGGATTTAGAAGACGAAGTGGAGATGCCTGTGTCGGGTGGTCCTGTAAATGATTCAGGAGAACTGATTGCTGGTGTGCGGCTCACCGTCATTTCAATGTGTTTTTGAATCTCAGTCATTAAAGCTCGGTCCGCATTTCAATTTAAGCTCTCATCCTCCGCTCTGACGACTATGATCTCCGTGCAAGGCGAAAATCGTAATTTAGTCGTTGCGCTAGGCGGCAGTTATTTTTCTCTTTAATAATACATATTACACTTTTTTTCTGGGATTTCTTTGCATAAATCAAAGTAGTATGAAAGATGAAAAGGAAATTTGCGTTTCACGCGTGGAGACCTTTACTAGAACTTATGCGGTGGCTTGTTATCACCCCACTCATACCGTTATAGGGGCTGTAAACGAATGAAATCGCAAAACGCTGGCAAACGGATCTCTCCAAATGATCAACGTCCCAGTGTATCTTGACATCAGCTTTGACCTGAGGAAGAGTTGTAGTCAAGACCACCTAAACCGAGACCAAGTCAAGACCAAGACCCATTGTGTGTTGAGCCAAAACTTTGAGGGTTTGAGACAAAGACAAGACCAAAGAAGGGCAAGACCGAGTCAAGACTAAGACCAGACCAGCATTCCTTAAATTCATCCAAAAGATCCACGTTTACTGATTGAGAAATGTCTTATATTTAATCAATCAATACTTTTAGAATAATAAGACACTATATAGAGCTGTTACCAATCAAATGAAATCAATAACAACAAATCATCTTTGCACTGCAGAGGTGGGACAGAGGCTCATCTGAAGCATCTGAATTGGTACAATTTCAACTGCATAAATAATTTTGAGATTATTTTTTTTAAATAAAATGTATTTTATTGAACATTTGTATAAAATCAGTATGTTTTCAATCGTGCTCATATTTGTGAACACGGCTCTCTAGCTCTTGTGATATTGTTTAATGATATCTTATGTAATATTATAAAAATCAAGATCATATACAAGTACTTTTTTGCAATCATATCATATTTTGTAGCCATCTGTATTAATTTTTGTTGACATTTTTGACACAACCCCTCGTTGATTTCTGACCCAGCACGACAGTCTAAAATAAAATTAGAAATGAGTTATTGATTGCATTGAAGCAGGAAGTTTTACATCCAGTCCCATTAATTATGTTAACAAATAAATCTGACAATGCACCAGCAATTTAGTGATATTCCCGCAGTTGTGGCCTTGGAATGAAATCCTGAGTCCTCTTAGTCTTAGGCCGAGACAAGACCGAGTACAAATGCGGCCAAGATTAAGACCTCCAAAAAATGTCCGATCTCAAATACCACAACACTTCTACTACTACCACCACACACAAACTCAGTCACGTTTATTTATAGCACTTATACAATATAATGTTTTAAACTGATTTACAGTATTAAACATACAAATTAAAGTGAATTACAGTTCAATGTCTACTTTAAAGCAGCTCTCCAGGACTTCTGACCTCGACGGACTCAACAGAGGAAATGAACCGGATAAGATTTCCTTTTTTTTAAAGAAGGCGGAGCCTCAGAGCCACACCTGTCCTGTTACGTAATTGCCATGGACCAATGGTAGTTCGAAGGTGTTGACCAGCCGGAGCAAACTTTTTGCTTTAAAAAGCTGTTTAGAACTCACAAAACGAACTCCAAACGACCTTCGTTTTGGCCTAGATTTTGTTCGAAATGACGTCACACCAGTTCGTTCTTTGATTTCGTTGGAAGTATATTGGGTGCTTCAGAACGAAGCCATGGATCTGGTTTCTCCCTTTGACTAAATCTCTCACTTTACATGTACTATCACGCCTATCCGCTAACAGAGTCATCCTGCGGAAGTCTCACTCTCTTTTCCTGTATATCTCTCACACGCTCCCTCTCTTTTCCCCTCCTCGTGACCCTGGCTTCCTCTCTGCCCCGCTAAAGGTGTTTGTCTGTGAGCGGCAGTGAGGATTACCTTTCCATCAGTAGAAGAATGAGGTGTGAAAAGCAATCTGAGGAACGCCAGGCCGGCTGATATGGAACTATGGCGGATGCAATTATGCCTATGACAGATCATTTCTGACCTGATCCCTCGCTGCTCTGGATGGCAGCCAGCCACCGCCGTTGTTTTGTTTTGCTTGTGCGCCGTGTGAAATTTGAAAACCTTTAGCAAGGGAGTAGTGACATAGCAGACTTCTCCATTTTTCTCTGTTTTCCTTACAGTCCTGCTCTTGAGGAACAAAAATGATGGTGAAGATGATGTCTGCACTTTTCCTAAACACTCTCTTTTTCCTTTCTCTTTTTAGATACTCTTCCCAAGGGTGGTCGCTCGACCAGATTAGCATATTTGCTCTGGTGGATGCCTTTGTGCAAAGATGCAAAGGCCTAATAGAGGTGAGAATACACTACAAAATGATGCAAACAAACACACTCACAAACTACTTTTTTTAAATGCGTGCAGAATTTTTACACCCCTACTTTTTTCAAACACACATCCGAAGAATATGCTCTCAGATTTCTCAATAATTCACATCTCTGTGTTTTTTTGCTTTCACTTCTCGTATTTTCCAGGACTAATGTCCTTGCTGAGATCTGTATTTTATATCACTTGTCATTTTTATATTTATTCATGCACTTTTTTTGCTGTGTGCTCCTATTAGTTCCACATACTATTGGCACTTTTCACAAATAGGGCAGAAAATAGTGCATCCTGTTTCTCTTTCAAAAAGTGATTAGTGAAAATAGAAATTGTTGTCAATCAACCATTGGAGGTCAAACTGAATTTTGAGCTATTATACGTTTCATTCATCAAAAAAAAACACACACAAAAAACATCAAAATTAAATATGGACTCATTATGGGAAAAAAACTATATTTTGAATATATATTAAATTTGTAATGTTAGATTTTTTTCATTTTTAATAAAAGACATTTAATTAATATGTTTCTTTCTCTTTCTTTCAGGTGTGTGAGTGTCAGCAGCAGTTTGCTCGCTGCGAAGAGGGTGAGCGGGTGCCGTTGCCGATCTTTGCAGGGCGTCAGGGATCAGAGGTCACTCAGAGATTGCTGTACATAGAGGCAACCTTTGACAACAGCCTGCAGGTCCTGAAGTCTGTTAAGGACATCCTGGATGTCGGAAACCCCTCTTGGCACGAGGACTACTCCAGGTGCAGTGTGTTTGTAAATTGATCAGGGCACAGAGAGAAAGAGAGGTTGTGTGAAATAGCTGGCTTTGTTTGTCCATAGGGCCAATATGATGTCCACACTGGAAGCTGCACTTCACCTCTGAATGTTTCCTAATCGTGGACCAATCAGCTGTGAGCTTTGAGCTTACATAAATACATTCCATTAATAATGAAATCCTACTTAAATTTTCAACAAATCAAACATTGGTAATTGGTAACATAAATTGTATGCTGTATTTATTTGAAAACTCTTGAAACTCTTCCAAGCAGCTGATTGGTTCTCTTAAAACCGAACGACAATCGATCTGTTTGTTCTATCTACGTAACCTATTTATTTCCATCTCGAACCGGCTTATCTCAGTACATCACCCCCATTGCGCGATGTACTGAGATAAGCCGATTCGGGGGTGGAAATAAATTTAAATCTATTTAAATCTAATCTAAATTAATTCTGTTCATCATATTAAGCGATCGAGTCTCTCCAGAAAATTTGGACTAAACCACTCAATTCATATGAACTAGTGTTAGGATCTCTTTATGAACTTTTTGAAGTGTCAAAGTGTCAGTTGTGTTGCTGTCAATGGAGGGACAGAAATCTCTCAGATTTCATCAAAAAGATCTTCATTTGTGTTCTGAAGATGAACGGAAGTCTTATGGGTTTGGAATGACATGAGGGTGAGTAATTAATGCAAGAATTTACATTTTTGGATGAACAATCGCTTTAACAATAAATGCTGTTTAAATCTATTCCAAGAGTTCATGATTGAATTATATTTAAACAATATATATATAAAATGAAACTCATATTGGGCAGGAAAAATAAAGCAGCTTGAGTTACTGACAGGGCAACAACATTAGAAAAAGGGTTTTTGTAAAATGAATGTGCCGCATTTTTGGTCCTTACAGTGTAGACAGCTTCATTGACTAAAATAGGAGCGATCTAGTTTTGTTGTGTAGTGACACGCTAAATATGTAAGATTGTGTGTCAGTCTTTCTGCCAGGCTGTCTATGAGGCAGTCAGTCCTTCTGGTTCTCATGTATATTTATGAATGTTTGTCATTCTCTCCTGCTTATTGGCCTGCTGGCCTGTTGGGGATTTCCATACATCCTGTATTAGCATATCTCCATAAATATGCATATAACGACCTGCATATTTGGATCATATAGATACTTTTTCATGAATATTCTGCCTAAATGTATGTGCAGTGGGGAGAGGATCACTGTGCCTACTGCGTATGAGCCCATCGTGTCCCTATTGTCATTCACAACTGTTTGTGGCAGCAGGCAGTTTGGCTGCTTGTCTGAATACCATCATGAGCGTGTGTGACGGAAGCTGGTCTCCCCATCAGCCTCTAGAGAACCCCCCCCCCCCCCCCCCCCCCCATACCCCCACCCCAGGCACTGCCGGACCTTGGGAAAGGGAGCTGTTTGTGAGCAAGTGTGTGCATCTGATGGCCATGATGGATTGGGGCCGAGACGGGTCATAAGGTTAGGATGTTGTTGCCAAGACAAACAGCTGTGCTTGTGTCTGGGGCAGGTGTTTCATAGTGTCTCAGCATATTGAGAGCACCCAAATCAATACCAGCCTCCATTTATGGCCGAGAGTGTGTGTGTGCTGGACTCTGCCTTTGAATAGAGGGCACCGATTTGTGTTTGGAGCACGCTGTACAGTTCTGCCCATTTATTTGTTGTTTTGTGCCTCTTGTTTGTGTGTGTGTGTGTGTGTGTGTGTGTGTGTGCACATGTTTGTTTTAGCTTCTGTGCTAAAGTGAAAGATCTGGAGGTGATGATGCAGAATTTGATCACTTCGACCTTCGAGACGGTGAACTGTGTGGAGGAAGGAGTACAGCTGCTTGACATGTTTCAGCACCTGTCTGGAAGAGAGGTCTTTCTCACACACACTTAGCCTTCAATTCACACACACTTTATCACCTCCTTTAAAACCTTGCACACTGTCAGAGCACAGCTCTTCTTAGCAAATACAGTGAATACAAATGACTTCAGCAGAACAGACCACACACAGACTTTGCATGTCACTTCCTTTTCACTCTCATTTACTCAAAAGTTCAATAGCAGGACCACACACACACGCACACACACACACACACACACACACACACACACACACACACACACACACACACACACACACACACACACACACACACACACACACACACACACACACACACACACACGCCCTCTGCTCTCTCACCTGTCACCTGTCTCTTTACTTAATGTCATTAAGATGTTTACCTCATTAATCACCTTCATCTCTTCTGACTTTCGTCTTCCCCTTCAGTCTTTTCTCTTCTCCTTCGCCCTTTCGTTCTGTCATTCTCATTCAGCTTTTGAGTCTTAAATTTCAAAGTGCTGCATTATGCATTATTGCCAAAGCATTAGAACAAATAATAAAAAAGTCTAAAACAAACATGTGCCACTGAAAGTAAAGTAAAATGAAATAATAATAAACAGATTTTATGAAGTAATAACAAGGCATTGACAAACAGTAAAAATATTCCATTGCAAACAGGCAACTAGTTAACGTAATGATCATAGCAGTGATTTGTTCTGCATTAAGCAAGTAACAAGAGGCTGTGTATTACAGTAATTTTACCACTGTTTACCATATTTCCTGAGTGTTTCTCTTTTATATCTCTCTCAGGCCATCAAGCGGACCATTGACAGGAAGACGCTGGATCTATACGCTCTGCTCAATGCTGAGTTGAGTAATGTCAATATGGTGATGTGCAGGGTGTCATCTCTCACTCCTCCTCATATGCCTCAACACGCTGGACAGGTCCACTTGACCCGAGCTCTCCGCTCACGGATAGAAAGACCTATGGAGGTGAGATTCTGTGTGTGAGCTAGAAAGACTGAAAGAGACAGAGTGAGATGTTGGTTAAACCTTCAAAAAATCAAACTATAAGATCAGGGGTGGGAATCAAAAATCTTTTTTTATTCAGAAACGGTTCTGGGTAGGGTTGCACCAGCCGTTCGTAATTTCTTTCTTAAATTTGAACGTAAAGTCCACACTAGAGGCTTAGTAACTACTAGCAGACTACTAGAGGCAGAGCGTAGCTAGTAGGTCGTAAACTCTCCGTAAAGGAATGCGTAGTCGCATAATATGAGGTTTACCCTCAATGATCCAATTGCAGCCTTCAAATACGTGAGCAAAAGTTGTTAAATGCTAGGAATTTCAGCTTATCCTTCATTCTTACTTCTTTTGCCTCACTTAACTAACGGTAAAAATACGTTTCCATTAAATACGATACTTAATCATGATAACATAATAAGTGTTTTTATATGTAAATAACATTCAGAAACTGTATTTAAAACGAAATTAATAAAGATAAATAAATAAGCACTGATACAGAAAAACATAAGAAATAACATTTATAGATTATGACTGATTTTATTTGACATGCACAACACGGACCGATGGGATAGATGCCCACATCGGCGCGCTGTAGGACGGGTTCGAGTTGATGATCTGTTAACAGAGTAATCTTTTAACATAATGTTCTCTCACTTAAAATGTATGCGAGTGTAAATGTCAGCATTGTCGTATACAAAATGTGACCCTGTACCACAAAAACAGTCACAAGGGTCAATTTTCTTAAATAGTTTTTTGAAATTTGAATTTATACATCATCTGAAAGATGAATAAATAAGCTTTCCATTGATGTATGGTTTGTTAGGATAGGACAATATTTGGCCGAGATACAACGATCTACTATCTACAACTGAAAATCTGGAATCTGAGGGTGCAAAAAAATTTAAACATTGAGAAAATCGCCTTTAAAGTTGTCCATTTATGTTTGCGATATTGCTGCATTCACTCACAAAAATAATTGTTTTATATATTTACGGTATGACTTTTACTAATATCTTCATGGAACATGATCTTTACTTAATATCCTAATGATTTTTGGCATAAAAGAAAAATAATCGATAATTTTGACCCATACAATGTATTGTTGGCTACTTCCACAAATATACCCGTGCGACCTGTGACTGGTTTTGTGATCCAGGGTCACATATGTCTAAAGAATTGAAGTCTGTCAGGTAAAAGAAGAGCTTATTGATCCAGTTCAGTCTGTCTGCTATTTTATTCCAACCGTTACTCCTGATCGGAGGCTTCCGTAAATATTTAGTTACGCTTCAACACTACGTTTAATGGTGCAACGCAAAAATATTTTGTAGTAAGTTGTATCTTAGTGCCTATTTACGTCAAAACTAGGCTAAGTTGTAACTCACGCACAGCTGGTGCAACCGGCCCCTGGTGTTTAAAAAAACACATTTTGGAACTTTTTTCATGAAATTCTGAAAGTGCAGTGCCATGGCAAAAGAAATGAAAATTTTAGCTGAGTTGTGATCTTGTAATAAGTGAGAAACACTGGTCACCCTGAAACAGTGTAATGTTATTGTTATTTATATACTGTTATGCTATTTATTAATAATTTGAATAACATTTTTATATTTTCAGTTTTCATGTAATTTTATGTGCTTTTGTGATTTGTCTTACTTTGTACTTATAGACTTTGTAGTTTTAGTACTTCAACGTAAATTCTTTTATTTCAGTCATTTTTAATGAACCAGTCAAAACAACTCCCAAATGAGCCTCATCAGTCTAAAACTATCATCACGTTCATATTTAACTTAAAATAAACCAAGCATATAAGCTTTTGTGGGATCAGTGTGATAGGTTATATAGTATAATGTACAGTAGTTAGGATTAATTATTTTGTGTTTCCTCAAAAATACTAAGACAACTAATTTAATAGAATTTCTTTTCCCAAAATATCAAACCAACTGAAATCAAACTGACTTGAGTCCCCACCAAAAGCCCTCATATAAAAATCCCACAGTCAATAAGTGGTATCACAGTTTCCTGAAAGATGCTTCAACTAGATGTGTGTTAGGAGACCGCAAGGTAAAACTGATCAGTCCAATCCCAGCATGCACCAGGCCATACCCGTTTCCCCCTCACCCTTTATAGGTGAACTCTATTGGGTTTTACGGACAAATGAATTAGATTCCAACCCAAAACCTCCACCGGGCTGAATCCGGGAGGTGTCAGAAACAGCTTAACTCCATTGATGAGCTCTTCTCTGTGTTGACAAGTGTGTTGAGCTGAGCGCCTTGTGTCAGAGGCCAGCGAGGGGCCCCAGCAGAGGCCCTGGAGTCCAGCCACATAGGCCCTAATGCTATTAAAGCCAGCTGTGCCGCCACATACTCACTTTCTCGTTCTTTTTGTCGCTTTCCATTTCACACACCCTTACTCTCTATTTCTGTCTCCTGTTTTCTCTTTCTTTCACTTCTCATCTCTTTTTCTTCAGTTTGCATAAAGAGCACATCGCCTCTCCATTGTGTTTAAATTCATTTTCCACTTTCTTTAAGAAGGCAATTAAGAGCTGGCATAAGCTTTAATTGGACACAGATATGATTATATTGCATTTCCCCACAACTGATCCCAAAAAGCCCCATAGAGAAACAAAAGGGAGGCTAAAACCAAAGCTTAATGAAGGTCTAATTGGGCATCGTAAAATATGTTTACATGTTTACTGCATAGCCTATGAGAAATTCCTAACATGAGCGATGTTTACCCTTGGTTTGTATAGCTTAGTTGTGCACTGACGGTTGTTTTGATTGTTTGTGACCTTGCATGTGTGACTCAGTAAGATCTCAAGACGTTGTTTGTTTGAAAGTGATGATATGTGCGCTCACAGAAGGCTCTTCGTTCTCTCTGAGCTCTTCCCGTCTATTTGTCAACATGTGTTTTTTGCACATGTGTTGTCTAGGTTCTCCGGCGCACTCATTTCCTGCCTCACACCAGCAGTGGAGAGGATGTGAATGCGAGTTATGCTAGGCTGTGTCAGATTCTGGATGAGAAGGTGAGGAGGAAGTTCACAGACTGGAGTCAGAGTCTGAACAAAGAGTGTCTCCGCAGTCTTGACCAGCCGCTCATGATCCGCTGTAAAGGGAAGGCAGGCTTGTTGGACATCAACTTTAACAAGTACGTGATCACACAAACACACATATACAGCCCCTCCAGTACCAGTAGTAGTGTGTATGTGTATGTATATATATATATATATATATCAGAAAAGCAATTTTTTAAAATATTTATTTATTGCCATTTTGCCTTTAAAGGGATACTCCACTTTTTTTGGAAATAGGCTCATTTTACAACTCCCCCAGAGTTAAACTGTTGAGTTTTACCGTTTTTGAATCCATTCAGCCGATCTCCGGTTCTGGCGGTACCACTTTTAGCATAGCTTAGCATACATCATTGGAGTGGACAAGACCATTAGCATTTCTAAAAAAAAAAAATGATCAAAGAGTTTCGATATTTTTCATATCATTACGCCTGCTGCTCTCATGGTACGGCAGTGAAGTTTTTTGATTATTACGCAGGAATGAGAGTATAGTTCCTAGCCATATCAGCCTAGAAAATCGCAACTTTACATTTTCCGTCGGTCTTAGTGCACGATGTAACTACAGAAGAGTCAAGTTTTAAATAGGAAAAATATCGAAACTCTTTGGTCATTTTTCTTTTAGAAATGCTAATGGTCTTGTCCACTTCAATGATGTATGCTAAGCTATGGTAAAAGTGGTACCGCCAGAACCGGAGATCGGCTGAATGGATTCAAAAACGGTAAAACTCAACAGTTTAACTCTGGGGGAGTTGTAAAATGAGCCTATTTCCAAAAAAAGTGGAGTATCCCTTTAATGGACAGGACAGTATAGAAATATCATAGTACACACACTTCACCTTTTTTCTGATGAGGGAAACTTATTGTCAGTCCAATTGATCCCAATGGATTATATCCTATGCTACACTGAATGTTCAGTTAGACTTTAAGTTGAATATGTTGCAAATACTGTTTATTATTGTTCTTAAACAACCTATTCAAACTCTTTAAAGAAATCAAGTAGTGCTGATGTTAAATCTTTCATGATCTTTAGTCATAATGCACATTACTGGAGTTGTTTTATACATGCTGAATGTTGTAGTGTGAATACAAACACACAGACTGTGAATGTACAACTGTTTTTGTGTGTTAAGGAACCTATTGAAGATGTTTAATGAGATTCATTACTGGGACCGACTGCTTTTTGAGATCCCTCACTACGTCTCAGATGTGTATCAGCGCAGAGAGGAACTGCACAACCTGAGAGAGAATGTCCTCCTCGTTGTTAGAGACTATAACAGGTTGGTTTGGCTGACAGATACTGACTTTCTCTCCCACATACTTGCAGACAAATTTGTGAGGACCATCCATAGATCTCTGTTGTTCTTAAAACATTCTTATACCATCATCATCATCATCATCATATTTTTTGGCACTTTCTACAAATCCAAAGCGCTTTTTATTTTATTATCTTTTATATGATCTATTCAAATGCGATTTATTTAGTGCTTATTGCTAGAAAATAACACGGTAACACTTTACTTAAAGCCTTTATATATAATGCATTATAAAACTATTCTTAATGTGTTTATTATGCCATGCAATACACCTTACAATGCATTTTATGGTTTAATGAATAACTGTAATCACGGTTGTAATGCATCATAATACATATGTTACGCCTTTAGAAAGTAATACATTAAAACGCATGACAAACTATCGATCTCCGATGTAACAAGGACTCTGCAAATATTATAATGCATTTTAACTTTACTTTGGTAACAGTTGTTTATGAAAAGATATAATGCATTATAACTTACATAAGTACCTTCATAATGCATTATACATAAAGGTTAAGTGTTACCAATAACACAATCAGAGAAATTAGGCTGTTAAATTATACTTGCAAATCTCATCTAAAATCAGTAAAACAGCTCATAATATTTAGTTTCACCTCCTAAGTTTGATACGTATCATTCTCCTAACAAGTTGGATGTAATATATTTGTGAGGAAATTATCTGTAATTTACTTCTTATTAGTATAGAAAAACAAGTGGACTTTCACACACAGATGCATCTTTGCTGGTTTCATACATATTTAAACGGTGTACTTGTCAGGTAACTTTGCATCTTTAATACACATTCTGCACAAACTGAGTATTTACATTCCATCAGCCTCAATATACACATCTCCATTCAAGACTTTAGTGCATCCGATCTGGAGAAAAGCACTTGAATTAAATGCGTGCACACACACACACTCACACATACACACACATGCTCACACGCACACACACAAACACACACACAATTCCAATGAACAAAACAATTCACACTTATGTCCCTCGTTGTGTAGTGAATAATAACCTCCGCCTCTCTCACATAAGCCTCTCAGCGCGTACGCGCACGCACACACACACACACACACACACACACACACACACACACACACACACACACACACACACACACACACACACACACACACACACACACACACTCTTCAGACTGGAGGACTCATTGTAACTCTCAGAGGGATAGAGTGAGTCATCTCTGTCAGTATTGTTACCACATTTAATGCATTCTACACATGCCAGCTGGAAACAAACACTTAAACCCAGCACAAGCTAAACAGGCCACTTGCCCCAAATGGCAAAGCACATCCACTTGTTAAGACTTGTTAATCCATTTTTACCACCCTCTTGTTCTGTTATGCTTTTAAAATGGCCTTGCTTGTTTTTGAAAATGCTGTAAAAGAAATGTGTCAATGGCGGTAAGACCTAAAAGGAAATTGGAGAACATCAGTGAACTTACACTTGTATGTTTGTGTTCACTCTCAATCAGAATCATTAAGGCTCTGAATGCAGATGAACTGTGTCTCTTTTCTGAGAGAATTCGGTTCTTGGATAAGAAAATCCAACCAGGCCTGTCAAAACTGCACTGGTCCACAAAAGGAACAGCCAGCGCCTTTATCAATGACTGCAGAGTGCACTCCAACAAGGTAAGTCGTTTCTGAAACACACACACACACACACACACACACATGCACGTACACACATAGATAGACAGCCAAATAGATAGTATAGTGGAAAGCTTGTGTTCCTCCAGCAGACAGAGCTCTTCTGGACTTTCCCTGAGCAGAGTTATGAATTTCAATGCTGGTCCAGTGCATAACCATCAGATAATGAAGCTGGTCAGCCAGCATGAGCTCTCTAGTAAAGCTGATGGACAGTAAGCCTGGTGCGGACAGCAGCCTGGTCTTTTCAGGAGAGAAACCCCCTGAGCTCCATTTGAAGTCCAAAAATTGCAGAGAATTATAGAAAAGTGGTTCTCAACCTTTTTTACTCTAAGGTAGATTCACTTTCACTGGTCCACTTCGATCCGAAAACCCGAAGACCTCTACTCTAAGGCCTCATGTCTTTTCCAGACTAAATATTTTAGAGCTTTGCATGAATAGTATTCTTAAAAATCTATAGAAATGCCCATGGAGTTATACGATTTTATAAATGATATAAATTTCACGACTTATGCAGGTTTAGAAACTCTCATATCCAGGTTTTTTCTAGTGGGAACCCATTTTTTCTTTTTCTTTTGTGGAGGGGGTGAATTCAAATAAGAAATATCCTATTTTGTTTTATATTGTTTTTATTAAATATATTAATAATTGTATTGCTTCTTTTGTGTTATTTTAAATGTTAAGTCCTCTTGTGGCCCCGGCCCCTGGTTGAGAATCACTGCTCTAGAAGAATCGCAGAAATAACTGCTGGATTTTCTTGTTGAATTAGAATTTCTGCTCAGTGCAGTTTAGGCTAAAACTAATCTACTTTTATAATCGATTATGTTTTTTCCTCCCCAATTCAAGTGTTCAATTTATATTTATTATTATTATTATTATTACTATCAGTGGTTAAATCAGTTGTGCTGCTTAATATTTTTGTTTAAAAAAAAACATGATACATGGATTGATGATGAATAGAAAGTTAAAAAGTACAGCGTTTATTTGAAATATATAGAACTCTTTACTGTCACTTTTGATCAATTTAATGCTGAAAAAACTATTCATTACTTTAAAAAACTTTCTCAAGTAACCCACTATCAGCAGGTGTGGCAAAAAACACTAGTTAATTTTGGACCCTGTCTACAGTTATTCAAGAACAGAAGGCTTTGCTCTTATTTTGTTCTGATACAGCTGTGTCCATTTTGCTGCCCGATATTGCTTTTGTAATGCAAGAGTAAGGCAGCAGGCTTTACTGAGAATGGAAGTGCGACTCAGTGGAGTGCAATTGTGAAATCTATTCACTTCCTCTGCTGGCTGTCCATCACTCCTACATTGTACAAGGCAATATGATATTAAAGCACTGGCAGTGCCCTTTAGCCATGTGGTAAAGAAACACACACACACACACACATACATAAAGGCATGCAAGCAGAAACATGAATGCGCCATCTACTTTAAAAAAGGCCGCACAGGCATCTCAGTATAAACAGCCCCAGCGTTCGCAATAAAAGGCAGCCAGCCTCGATTCATTGCCCGGTTCTCTCTAACTCACGTCAGAGTCAATGTCAGACGTCCTTCGAGCCCAAAACAGAGCTGGCACGAACTTCACTGGTAATGGAGAAGTGTGGAGAACACGACACATCTGAGCTTACACACACCCACACACACTTAGAAATGTAAGTATACATTCTACACACTCGTGCACGTAGAGTAATCTTCCCCTTTGAGGCTTATTTCACGTGACACGTTTCATCCCATGAAAAAGGCATGAGACGAGCTGGATCCAGAGCTAGGAGGAAGAGTGAGATTATGCGGCATGTAAGATGCTTTAGAGAACCTCTGCACAAACTCTCAGGAACGTCTCAGCACCGCCGCCCTCCGCAGATTGAGCAGGGAGCTGTTGGATGAGAAAAGCTCGATGCTTTGTGGATAAGAACTGCCTCCTTTGATTTTAAGCACAGGGATGGGTTGAAATCAGGTGCTCTATTTCTGTGGAAGAGAGAGAGAAGGAAACATGAGCTGGAAAATCCTGCTGGAAAACCCCTGCTGCTCCGTTTGAATGTGTTTTCCATCCTTCTCCCGCCACATTCCTCTCGCACCCGTTCTCTCATTTATTCTATTCTGTGCTTTGCTTTTGCTTCTCTTTTTGTCTTTCATTTCTTGTTTTGTTTGCTTTGGTCTGGTTTTATTTTTGCGTTTTTTTGTTACAGTAATTTCTTTTTGCTGTGTTTCTTTGGCCGTGTTCACACCTGATATCAAGATGCGTTTTGGTCGATTGGATCACAAGTGGATGACGCTAAATACAGGTGTAAACTGGGTCTAAAAAGTTTTGAGCTTGTCCACTTTTGACCACTTCCAGTGGCAGTTAAACGAACCGGATTTCTTTCGTAGTGTAAACACTCATGTGGTCGAATTTTTCAAACAGCCACAAAAGACCTTCTTCTCTCCGTCTACTGATCTCATGCGTAACATTATGGGAAGCGGCTAAACAGCCGGGATTTAAACTTTGTCGGCTGGAGACCCAAGTTTGGTTTGAAGAAGAAAAACGTACCAAACACAATGTTCTCTCACCATTCCTGATTTCTAACACACACTCACAGCGTTCGGCTGGTCTTGCGGCTGTCAGACCAGAAACTGAAGCTGAGGCTCTCTGTGTGTTTTTCCATCGTCTCCTGGACGTGTTCACATGTAAATTGCGTGACCTTATTTCGTCCATTTGATTGAAAGATTGCAAAAAGCCCACACATTTACTCGCCCATAGACCCTCCCCTTGCAGAAATCAGGACAGAAGTGATTGAAAGTGGACAAAAGAGACGGATTAAAACACCAGGTGTAAACGGGAATGTGTCTCCCTCGTCCACTTGTGATCCGATCGACCAAAACGCATCTTAACACCAGTGGCCAGTTGCATAAACTTTATTTAGCTTAAGTTTTATGTTAAGACTGTGTCTTCAGAACTAGTTTGACCAACTAGCAGTTTGCCAATGAATAATCATCAGTTTTATTTTTTGTTTAAATTAGATCAATCTATGGTTTTAAGTAACTGACTTTAAAAAAGTTTTGGCCAGTCTTAAAGAAAAAAATTTGATGACTAACTTGTAAGACTAGTCTAAGCGTTTTATGCAACTGGCCGCAGGTCTAAATAGGGCCTTTGTTTTGGTTTTGCTGTTTTTGTTTGTGCTTTTGTTTGTTTTGTTTTTGTTTTACTAAAAACATTTAGAATACCTTAGCAGTCACATAGTAATACTCTCGCATTGTGGTGGTGAGTTTTGCATCGGCAAGCACCACTCAAATTCTAGTCTTTTTTTCAACCACACTCTCTCTCTCTCTCTCTTTGTCACTCCCTGTTCCTTTTTTTCTCATTAATTTGGTCATTAGTTGGGACAGCCTAATAGAGTAGCACCTGGGCTTTTAATGATTGCTTTGTGCCATAACTCCTCTCAGAGCAGTTAGTCAAAACTACCTGTGTGTTGCTCGCCACTACAGGTGAAAAACCATTTATTCCCATATGTTTTTCCAAATAGAAGGGTCCCTGTAAATGCTAAAGTACTGTTTCACAATAGCTCAGATTTGGGAACTTTTAGATGTGTGATGCTGTCTACTGGAGTCTGTGTTTTTCAATAAGGCAGAATCAATAATAGACCTGCATGTGGTAAAGTGGTAACTCATTTCAAACAATTGCGCAACAACCTCTGGGAAAGTTTATAGAAATAACAAGATGTGTGTAGCCTGTCATTTTTTTTGTCTACAAAAATGTATTAGAACAGTTGCTAATCTAAACAAGCCAGGGACGTACTGTAGATTCAGATTCAAATCTTACAATTTACTAGATGATCAAATCTTACAATTTATTAAGCTGTCAGCTGTGTGTTTTTGGATTAACATTTGTGCAATCTCTTTGTTCTGAATCTCTCTCCTCTCCCACAGGTTCAGTTAGTGGTGGACGAGTATAAGGCAGCTATCCTGGCCACCTCTAAGCTCTGTGAGCAGATCAGTGAGCTGATTTTGGTGCGTGTGGATGGCAAGATGTTTCATGGAGACCTGGAGTTCCAGGAGGATCAGCAGAATCATCAGCATATGCAGCTGCTCCGACTGCAGAACGCACACCAGGACATCGTCAAAATCATGGCCAGAGTCTACGGGACCTTCCACCTAGATGGGCCTGAGGTTGGACTGCTGTCTGTGTGTTGTAGCTTTTCCACTAAAGCGATAAGCGTCTTGAGGTTGTGGTACAGTAATTTTAGCACTGAAGGACTGTTGTTGGAGTAAATTTTTCATAACGCACAGCCTTAAGTGGCTTATTGCTCTTATAAAATGGCAGCAACTGCAATAAGAACCAGCTAGTTTAATTGCACAGACATATGAAGGTAAATTTATCACCCCATTGTGAACTAAGGTTTTTCACTGCAACCCAGGAATGTGTTTTAATAAGTAGGGATGCTCAGATGAGGATTTTTACAGCTGATATGACTACCGATTTCTTGTCATCACATTCAGCCGATTCCGATCCTGATCATTCAAGCTTTATATAAGTGAAATGGAAGCTCTTTTTTGACTGTCACTGTTAACCCCTAACACCCTGAAGGCATTTTAATGATTTCATGCGATTTCTCTACGAAGTGGCATACTTAAAAGTAATGGCTTATAACTCTGCAAAAAAAAAAAAAAGACAAGACTTGATTTCATCTGACAGAAGACCTTTCAAATTGTGAAGAAAATAGATTTTGATAATATTCGGAGATTCTCATGTTACAACACTGCTGAGAAAACAGAAGAAATAAGTGATGCAGTTTATTGATTTATTTGGTTATCATTCATGCTTGACATGATGACTATTAGAACGTATATATGACTCAAAGCAATCAAAAGTTGTGACATTTGAAACCATTGTAGCCTTTTTATCAAAGGTCCAAAGACAAAGAGGGTTTTACTGAACCTAAAAATTACTTACATGTGTAAATGCCATAATAAAGCATTAAAATATTTATAATTACATAGAATAAGTAACAAGTATAAAGAACCTGGTTGATGAGTGATAATCTTCCAGCGCTGTTTTAGCTGTGCACTCCTTTTCTATGGCACACGGTAAATCAAGACCTGTCAATTGTAGCGATCAATCCAATCCATGTGCGCGCCAGTTGGAAAACTGTACCTGAACATCATCCCTCGTACCCACCGTACCCGAGATCCTAATAGTAATGTTTCAAAATCAATGTGATCAAAAGTTAATTTAAAAGTTGACTTTCCCCATTGTCTTTCATTGTACGGACAAAATCAGAAACTTTCTTCAGTTTTCTTATTTTTGGGTGATCTATACCTTTAAGTATGTACAACGTCACAATAATATTTATCTCTGCATACTTGCATAAACTGTAACATACTTGGGTTAATAAAAACATCATAATGAGGACTTCCCATTGACTTTGTGTTTGTATTTTCAGGTGCAACAGCACTGGGTGTCGTACATGGAGAAGTTGGATCGAATGGTTGAGGAGGCGTTTCGTGTGAATATAAAGCGCTCTCTGCTGGAGCTCTCTAAAGCCATCAATGGAGACGGCAAGACTTCCCCAAACCCCTTATTCAGAGTAGAGGTGGTACTGAAACAACAAACTCCTCGATATCCTGCTCAGGTGCACACAAACAGACACTTTCTCTTTGTCAAATCTAGTAATGCTGTAGTCATTGAAAACAATTTACGTGACGGTGACCCTTACCTCACATCTAGACAACGTTTTCTCAAACATACCGTCCCCTCTGTCATTTCAGGGTATAAAAGTGTACATAAAAGCTCTGTGTCAGTGCAAAACACTTTGTTGGTCACAGAGAGCTGCTGGCCATGTGTTTTACATACAGCGTAAAGACACTATCATACATCAAGCAGAGGGCATTCAGAACACCGCAACCTCTATAAATCACATCTGTGGCTGCACTGCTGCGTTATTCAGCACTCCACTCTACTGCTATGGGTAATGTCCCATGATGCTTAGTCAGCTAAACACAGTGAGAAAGGAAAAGCAGAAATGTTAGTTTGACTTAATTGAGTATATTTTAGGGACATTGGTTGCTTTGGTCTGTGGAGACAGACTGCCTGAGGCAAAGCGCTTTAAGTGCCAGAGGGAAGGGAAATGCATTAATGCTAGCTCAGGACACACTATTAAAGGCCCTCTCACACCAGATGCGAAATGAATAAGCAAAACAAATCATTGATGAATGGTCTGTTCACACCAAGAGTGAAAACGAACATCCGTCAGGCTGATCGACAACCAAATTCACGCTGGTACAATATTTGCCGCTACACATCTTTTCCAGTTCTCACAGAGGAGATGATTAGAAACGGTCACAGAAAACCACAGGACGTTGGGGAAGCTTGCAAGATTCTTTCATATTTCAGAAATAAAAATGGATTCCGAGACTCATGATTTCTTTATATTTGAAAACTTTTCTACACTAACACAGTCAGAGCAGTAACAAGTACATTCTTCTGTGATGAAGCTCCACATAAGAAAAGAAAAAAAGCTTTTGGGATTATCAATGTGAACAGTTTAACGTGTGAGATTAATTACAAAAGTGATGCAGTGCTCATTAACAGATCAATTATTATTGTGCAAATGTGCATTATTTGTGTGGTGGAATTTGAAGTGTAACTTCGCCGATTTTCAACCTGCTTGTATTGTTACAGTGTAAATGAACAATGTTTACTCGTTCTCTCTGTTACCTGGACAGAGAGACTAACTACAGATTAAACGTCCACATTTTTGTATCCTCGCCCACGGACAGTCGGATCGACAGAGGGTTATTAACAGAACGGTTATTGTAAGAGTAGGTTTATCACTGAAAATTGTTCTGTACTTTTTCTACTCTTTAAACAGCTTTATGGTAAAAATGGAACACTATGGCAACAGCTTTCTTACCTTTCTCACCGTTCTTACCTGTACGTGACTGCGTTTTACATTGAGCGGAACTGACAGAACGGCATCTTTCAGTTTTTTCCCCCTCCGTTTGGCATAAAACACTGTTCATTGTCATCCAGTATGAAATATTTACTACAAACACAGCTTTTTCAGATTTTCCGTAGCGGTGTTTTCTTCATATTAAGTTTCTTTACAACACGCTGGATCCTTCTCTGGAAATTCTTGCACAACACAAGTCGACACCATTATTACTAAACGTTTGCTAAGAAGTATTTGCTACTAGGCAGCCAGGTTTTATTGAAAGCTCCTTTTGCCAGTGGCGAAGTATCCATTTAAATAATTGAGAGCATCAACATCTGTGATTGGTTTTCCTTTTTTAAAGAAAATATATGTAAATTAATAATCATAAATGCACCAGCTGCATGTGTTAACATGCTAACTACATAAAAAAAAATGCATTTTTATATTTTTAGGGTTTTTATTGTCACATGATCCTTCAGAAAGCATTCTAACATGCTGATGTTGTGCTCAAGAAACATTTCTTACTATTATCAATGTTGAAAACAGTTTTTTCTTAGAAACAGTGATGCATTATATTCAGAATTCTTTAATGAATAGAAAGTTTACTAGAACAGCGTTTATTTGAAAAATGTATGTTTTATGTAAAATTGATGTTGTTGTGAATATCTTCATATTTACAATCACATGATACTTGAATAAACATTTTCTTTGACTTGCAGATATAATGATTCTTGTTTGCTCTTTTTAATGAAGTTTACTCCTCTCTGTGTGTGTTTTTTCCAGGTGGATTTCTCTCCTTCTCTCCAGAAACTGGCCCACATAGTGAACAGCATTAGCTCTCAGCTCATCAAGACCATCTCAGTGTTCAAACGTCTGCCGGATCTACTGACCCGCCAGCACTCGCAGAGAAACCCCATCCACAGCATCATCGGTACACCCTCTCGCCATCTCATTCACCACATCCCTCCATTTATCCTTTATGCCCTTTTTATATTCCTGTTGTGTTTACTCACCCTCATGTCGTTCCAAACCCATATGACTTTCTTCTGTGGAACACAAAAGGAGAAATTATGAAGAATTGTATAGGGTCCACTCTTTTTGAACAATTCTTCAAATTCCTCCTTTTATGTTTCTCTGAAAAATAAATCAAGTAAAATAAACACAAAGCCACAATGATGACTAAATAATGACAGAATTTACATTTTTAGGTGAAAAATCCATTCACATCATCATTTGTGTATTGCTCATCAGTGGTTGTTTGGCATCAACAATGCTTTCTGTGTTGTTCTCACGTCCTCCCTTTCTTTTGATTTCAGAGCAAGATGAAGAGATCTGTAAGATTCAGGGAGCCATAGCTGCAGGAATGGTGACTAATGCATCTCTCCTGCAGACTTATCTGAAGACCTGGGACAAACACAGAGAGATCTGGGAAATCGAAAAAGACGGCTTCATACAGCGCTACCAGCGGCTCAACCCCACAGTAGCCTCCTTTGACGCTGACATCGCCAGGTCTCTATCTTTCCCTCAAAATGACTGTGTAATGTTGTAAGAGCAGTGTCTAAATCAGGGGTATTCAATTAAATCCAAGAGGTCCGGTCTCTATATTTCCTTCCCATTGGAGGTCCGGGTAATACTTTTTTGGAATAGTTATAGATTTCCATCTGGGCAGCAGTAGTACTTTGTAAAAGGGAAAAAAAAATCCTAAACAGTCAAAATAATCATCAAAGATGAGTATATTGGGCCCTTTAGAGGCAAAGTATGGTGTCTGAGAACAAAAAATAAATACATTATTTGTTGAACCCAATTGGATATGAATATATGAAGGTAAGATCAGATGTTTTATCAGTCTTTTACTATTTTTACATTTAGATGCCCATGTATGGCAGAAGGCCATGTGACTGATAAAAGACACTGCGATTCAGAGTTTTCTGGACCATTTTTATGTTTTTCTTAATATAAGTTCATTAAAAACAAACAAACGATGTACATAATAATCAAAACGCCCTCATCATGAGCAGAAAAAAGTTAACTAGGGTCTTTCCTTGCCATAAATAATTTTTCCCCATTATAACATTTATTATGAAATTCTCTTAACATGCTGATTAATAATGCTAAATATAGATTAAAAAAAACATCTTGTCAAAAAAGTCATGTGTGTATGCTGGATTTTCGCTTTCTGCAGTGAATCAGCGAAAGTATCTATTTTGCTGTTCACTGTGTAACTGCTACTGTTGTTAAAATAACCGCATCATCTGCAGCTCGTAATGTGGCGCTTTAAGTCTTTAGCGGAGAAGAGAAGCAACACGCACGAGTGGAAAGGGCTTGAATGAAGCGCGTTTGACTCTAGATAAAAAATATCAGAGGATCAAGCGCCGAAAGATCATTACCATAAACAACACTGAGCGCTTGTGGTGTGAACCGCTCCGTTGTTTTGACACGCTGCTCACTTTAAACTGTTTTCTTACTTTATAAAGTTTCTTTAGTGAACAAATCCACTGAAGGATTCAAAATCATCCTTTCATACAGGCATTTCTTTTCATTTAAAATACACAAGTCATGACAGTACACCAGAATGGTGTGTTTGAATTCACGTGAAAACGTTGGGTTCTCGGGATCCCCATATGACATATTCAGCTAGACAATATATATAATTTCATATACAGTATATAAATTCACTCACCTAGCCTCTATATCAATATCTCTGCTCTCCATAATTAAGGTAGTTGGTACATTATCCGCGGGATCAGTTCAAACTAATATCACGCAATTTACGTCTCTACAATGATTGGTTCATATAGCAAGGGAGACTAGCCTCCTCTGCGCTGTATTTTTTCCTCAACACTCTAACACTGAATGTGAAATACTCAATGGTGATTGGCTATTGCACCAACAGAGGCAAAAGTCTCTGGCCTCCCCCTCCCCATCTATCCCCTCAGACTTGCCTTAGCAATCTGAACGATTGTAATTATAATTTTATCGTCAGATTCGGCATGCTCGGGGAAGCTCGTTTTATTAACATTAAATCGTCCTTCTCCCATTTCAAATCAAAGTTTTATTTGCCATTTTTTAGAGCACAAAGAAAGTTGTACACATACATAGGAATTGTACTACATCACCCTTAGAATAAAAAAACAAACAAAGCGCACCAGTGCTTGCTAGCCGTTTATACTGAATATATATCCTATTTCTATGAGTTAGCCATTAGTCTCACAGCTGCTGGATAGAAGCTGTTGTAAAAGCGTGTTTTGTGTGTGATGATGCTGTCCGCTCTTGCGTATCTCAGACTGTAGTGTTTGTATCTGGGCCTCAGCAGAGAGTGAGCTGGGTGATGAGTGTCATTTAGTAGGGACTGAGCCTTCTTACAGCGCTCTATGTACAGTGTGGTCATGGGTGGGAGGTTAGTCCCAATGACTCTCTCTGCAGACTTTATAACTTCAGAAATTTGCACTTCAAAATGTTGGGTTGGCTGTGCCTCCGTTGCCTCCCCTGACGAGCCTCCACTGTTCACATGTCTGTAGCACAGAGGTGCCAGTCCTGTCCACATCTCTTCCCTAAAGATTTGATCCGCACTAACCAAATCGTTATCATGTCAACAGTGGATGCTTGATGGTGTGTGTGTGTGTGTGTGTGTGTGTTTGGACACAGACATTGTGTGTGTGATTGCGCATTAATGACCTTTTGCCGTTTGTGTTGTGCTGTCTGTCCTGAGCTGGAAGGGCATTATGTGTTGCCTGCTGTCCCAATTAAAGGGATAGTTCACCCAAAAAAATGTACTCACCCTCATGTTGTTCCAAACCTGTGTATATTTACTTCTTCTGTTGAATACAAAGGAAGATATTTTGAAGAATGTTGTAAATTGAACAGTTTTGGGGCACTATTGACTTCCATAGTATTTTTTTTTCCCTACTTTGGAAGTCAGTGGTGCCCCAAAGTGGCCTGGTTACAAACTTTCTTCAAAATATCTTCCTTTGTGTTCAGCAGAACAAAGAAATATTTATATTTATACAGGTTAGGAACAACTTGAGGGTGGGTAAATTATGACAGAATTACAATTTTTGGGTGAACTATCCCTTTAATGTCTCAAGTTTTTTCCACATCAAATAATGCATGCAGACACTTTTTTTTAATTACTATTGTTAATCTAAGTCATGCTTTATTTCTTTACACTCGCTCACAGAAATAATTCATGTTGCACACTTCAGTTGTTTTCTTGAAATTTAGGTACGTTGTGCTGCTGAAATGATAAATGAAATAGCTATTAATAGGACAGCCATCATGACTGAGCAAAAGAAATACATCACCAAATTACATTATCTAACAGATCCATTTAAACAAAAAGTAATTTAGTGGCCGTTATTAATAATTAAAATCATTGTTTGTTCAAATGTACCATTTGTTGTGGAAATGAGAAAACAGTGTGGAGAACATGTAGTCCTGATACAATCACAACATTCTTAGGAAAGAACAATCAAGAGACAAGCATCCAAGTGTCCGATCTTTGAACTTCTCCGCTGACTGGTGTATCATGGGAGAATACATTTTTATTTGCAAAATTGTTTTCATAAGGCAGCAAAAACTTTTGTTTTTGAGAACTCTGTTGATGGACACAAGGTGGTTATTAATATATTATTCAGGGATATATAATGAATGTATAATAAAATATAATTTACTTATTTTATAGATTTATCTAGTATCTGATGTCTTAATTTCCCAAACACAACCGCAAACAATCTTCATTTTGAATCAGGACTCATTACAAACCTAAAATAAAACATTAAATGTTAATGTAATCTTTGTTTAGAAAGGAGAACGTCTCTTGTGTTAGAATTTGCATAATAGGATTTTTTTAAATATATAATTCAAGATTAGTTTCAAGAGAATTATCCACTTCATTTACTCTCTCTCTCTCTCTCTCTCTCTCTCTCTCTCTCTCTCTCTCTCTCTCTCTCTCTCTCTCTCTCTCTATACAGATACACAGAGGTGGCGAACAACGTCCAGAAGGAGGAGACAGTGTTAAGTTTGCAGTTCGTGTTGCTGGATTGTTCTCCACTCAAATTCTCTCTGTTGCAACATTGTAACGAGTGGCAGAGCAAGTTCACACAGCTGCTCAGCCTTATGGCCAGTGCCAAACTTAAAGAACTGCACAGCTTCCTGCAGGAAAACGCTCTCAGGTGTGTGTGTGTGTGTGTGTGTGTGTGTGTGTGTGTGTGTGTGTGTGTGTGTGTGTGTGTGTGTGTGTGTGTGTGTGTGTGTGTGTGTGTGTGTGTGTGTGTGTGTGTGTGTGTGTGTGCTAGTGTGTGCGTGCGTGTGTGAGAGAGAGAGAGAGAGAGAGAGAGAGAGAGACCCACTCAAAGCTCTGTTCCAAAACCCTGCCTCGCTGTCTATATAAGCAGCTGGGATCCTAACTGAAATGAAACCTCATAAGTGACCAATTTGAAACGCTCTTCATGGGCAGCTACTGTGTTAATGGTCACTCATGCATGCCACGCCAATTAACACCCCTCACATGAAGAGCATAAGAGACTCGACAAACCTCTCTGTTGATTCCAATAGAGTCTGACGTTAGCATGTTTCTAAGCCTGACGCTAATAAATACTTCTGTCGACTCGAAAGAGAATATGGAGATTTGGAGGCGGCCTCGAGTCTTTTGACTTGAGCCAGTTTTAATTTAGGATCATTGAGATACTATTACAGTTTTTATTAATATTTTGAATAACTGCTAGTTTTTAAATTTAATTTTAGTTCAAGTTTTTGTAATTTTGTTATGTTCTTGTCATTTTGACATGTTTTTTTTTAGTATGTCTATATAGTTTTTATACATTTCTATTTCAATTTTATTTCACCCTATAGCAACACTCTTGCCACAGCACAGCATCGTGCTAAAACCACTCAGAATACCTTAGCAAACATACCAAAATGTTATCTTAGTAGACTCAATGAGAAACAGGGCATCTATACTGTATGTGTCTAGTTCTGTTATTGTGCTTAATTGACTTAAGGTATTAAATATTTAGCATGCGCATATAGTCATTGACTGTGTGTGTTTTCAGGCTGTCTCAGCCTCCTCAGACTCTGGTGGAGTTGGAAGAGAGTCTAAAACTTCTGGAAACTCTGCAGGCAGATCTGAGTAAAATCGAAAGTCAGATTCCACCCATCCATGATCAGTTTGCCATCCTTGAGAAATACGAGGTTCCCGTCGACCCCGCTGTGAGTGTCGCACACCACACAACCGTGCGCACACACACACACACACACACACACACACACACACACACACACACACACACACACACACACACACACACACACAAACACACACACTCACACACCCTCAGGTGTTCCAGTCAAATTGTCTCCTAAATACACTTTCATCTCCCGCCTCTATTCCATATTTGACTACGCTTTTATTTGAGTCAGCGCTCTTATATTCTCTCTCTCTCTCTCTCTCTCTCTCTCTCTCTCTCTCTCTCTCTCTCTCTCTCTCTCTCTCTCTCTCTCTCTCTCTCTCTCTCTCTCTCTCTCTCTCTCGCTCTCGCTCTGTCTCTCTAGGTGTTGGAGTTGCTGGAGGCTCTGAATGCAGAGTGGGTGTGGTTCCAGCAGGTTGTGATTGACAGTGACATCATGTTGAAGAAACACAAAGACATGATGAAGAGTGGGCTGATCCTCTCCTCTGAGGAGTTTAAGAAGAAGACACAGTCGGCCCTACAGAGCTTCAATAGCAATGGTAAACACACACATACACATCTTCGACTGTTATAGGATGGGGAAAACACAGTACTGTCTCAGAGCCTACTGTGAGCTTCACATCCCAGCATGCCTCTTATTCTGTAGGTCAGTTCGCTACATGGGCGGCACCGCAGGCCTTTGCTTTCTAGGACCGTGGGTGTTCTGCATGGTGGGGAGTGCTGGGTAGAGCCATCAACCTCCCACATGCCCCACGGCACATCACAACCAATTAGCCTTGAGATAATGTTTTAGAACGCCATGGAGCCTCACCTACAGCAGAAGTGACCGTCACACTGACATCGTGCCCTTGACTGCACTCTCAGCCTGTGTCTCTCTCTCCCTCTCTCTCTCTCCCTCTCTGTCCCGTACTGCTGCTCCACCTCCTGCTGGTGTCTCTGCGCTGTTTATTCTCTGCTCTATTAAAAATGGGATTGAAAAGTTTTTTTTTTTCAATCTCGCACTGCCACCTCTCTTCACGAACAGTCACGTTGTGCCGAACTGTATCAAAGAGGACAGAGTTTTCGTCCTACTTTTCCTTCCCTCTTCTTTCATTCCTTCCTTTTTTCTTGCACTTCTTTGCTCACTCGTTCCCCATCTCGTTTCCATTGTGTTTGCGTTTCCTTGTGATCGTTGATAGCTCTGTGAAGTCTGTTGTTTTTCAGTTTGATCTCCTGCCATTGCTTCCCCGCGTCTTTCCTCCTATGTTCTTCTCCTCCCACTATGAATCCAAAAGCCTTTCCGTCTTGATTCAGACAAAGTTGGAGTTTTTGGCACAGTCTTAGCTTTTGTGCCAAGTCAACACGTGGCAAACACGCTTGTCGCTCACCGTCATTATTTCCCACAATCCCAGAATTTCCGAACGTGGGCGGCAGCTGCAACTTGTTGAGAACGACTGGATTGTTTGGATTGTTCCAGCAAACAATGGCGGGCTCCTTCAGGTTAATGAGGCCAGGAAGCAGCTTTGTGCGGAGACAAATTTGTATTCAAGAGAGAGAGATGGTTTCAATAATATCACACTCATTCAGTCCAAACACACACTACTGGCCCCTGCCAAGGTGCCCCTTCAAAATCTCATCTCCTGCTCTCCAAGGACCCAGTGTGACTTTCTCTCTCAGAACCGGCGCTGAGGAAAAACACAGGCCCAATTAAACATGATTGGTTGAAATCTCCAAGGCAGATTTATCAAATATGTATCCCATTTTCACATTCGCTAATTAGATTTTCTTTACGTTTTAGTCAGGCACAACAGAGAGAGTGAGGATGGGCGTCATCAAACCTCTCAACACCCGTGCTCCTGAAATCGTTCTGCTCCAGCGACGCACTTCAGCATGTGCTAAATGCTTCAGTAAATCAGACTTTGCACAAATATTAACTGGAGATCCCTGATGGATCTTCACACGATGCTTTAATGGCTCGCCTTCATGCAGAATTGTGTAAACGTGTGGTTTTTTTTTGTAATTGCCGGAGATGTGCAGTAGGTGTGTGATTTAGCCAGTTTGTTTGATGGAATGCATTTTAAACGCTGACCGACGTTAACACTCGCGCCTGTAAACATATCACAGAGGCCTTTAGGGCAGATAATGGCCTCTATATTGGTGCCTGTGCGAGCGCGTTCGTGTGTGTATTGCCATCCTGAGATGAATGAGGTGCTTTTTGAAATATCAAATATCTCGTAAATCAAAGCTGTCGCAAGTGCGTGTGGATTGTGGGAGTCCGGGCCTTTTTGCAGAGCTGGGTCCGAGCCAGAACTTGCATGCTGCTCAGGAAAGAGACCTACTGACCTGCTGAGCTCCCAACTGTGAAACCACATTAATAGAAACATGCTCGCTTTGCTAACTTTCTTGCCAGTAGGAATCCATTGAGCTTTTTTTTTTTTTAGAGCGACAAGCTGCTCCCTGGGGAAATGACAGCTGAATGTGCATCTTTTTAATCATTAGCCATATGCATGGGCATTTGTGTGTGGTTTTTGTAAATCTTTTCCTTTACGTATACTATCTTATTTGTGCATGTATCTATATGCAGGTCCGTTTGGCAGTAGTGTAGCCCCAGATTCTGCCCTAGAACTGGTGGCAGAACTGCGTGCCCAGTTGGAGGCTCTTAAAGAAGATGAGCAGAGCATACGTTACGGTCTCAACATCTTTGATATTGAAGAACCAGCCTCTAAAGACATCCTCAATCTAGAGAAGGTACCTATTCACTGCTGTTACAGTAAAACCTCTCTCCATACAATACAACACTGACACATTTAACGCTAAGCAGCACATTTGGCTGAGGGAAAATCACTTGTCCTGCGTAACAGCAAATTGAACACTATTGATACTGTTGGTGAAGATCATTTCTGGTTCTGTGTATGGTGATGTTTAGATGGTGTTTATGTGCGTGCGTTTGTAGGGCATGGACTACCTGCAGCAGGTCTGGGAGATCGCCCAGCAGTGGGAGGCTCTGTGGGACGAGTGGAAGGGAGGTCAGTTGGCCTCTCTACAGACCGAGGTCATGGACACCACCGGCCAGACCATGTTCAAGAGACTCCACAAACTCAGCCGAGAGTTCAAGGCAAGCCAACGCAACTTACTTTGTACTCCTGGTACTCAAACTCAACCAGTTCAGGGACCAAGCTTACATTTAGGGCAGGTTCAAATAAACAATGTTAGTTCTCAGAATAGAACAGCACAGACTTTATTGTTTAAGCTATAATGTAGTGTTAAACTATATAAAAATGTAATTAAAAAATATATTAAAAACTAAAATTATACATAAATATATTCATATAAAAATAAAATATTAGCATTATAAAAAAAATAAAAATAAACATAGGTGAATGTATTCTGCTGTTTTAACGAAACACAAATCTCACAAATGAACATCTGATTTCCTTTGTGGGAAAGTGATCAATAAGTTTGTCAATAAGTTTTTTAAAGAAATGAATACCTTTATTCAGCAAGGATGCATTGAATTTTATCAAAAGTGATGAAGACATTATTAGTGTTGTAAAATATTTCTATTTCAACTAAATAAATAAATAAATGCTGAAAAAACTTTCTATTCATCAAATAATCCTGGGGAAAAAAATAATCAATCACAGTGTCCAAAACATTAAGCAGCTTAACAGTATTCAACATTGATAATAATAATTAGCACATGTTTCTTGAGCTGCAAATCTGCATAGTTGAATGATTTATGAAGGATAATGTCACACTGAAGACTGGAGAAATTCAGCTTTGCAAACACAGGGATGAAAATGGAAAACAGTTGTTTAAATTGTAATAAGATTTTACAATATTACTGTTCTAAGACTTCTTTCAAAAATGTTACCGACCTCAAACATTTAAATGGTAGTGTATTGTAATGTAAATTATATATAAAATAATGTTTCACACTTTTTGATTTGCTATATGATGCTCAGGCTTCACTTTCATCTTTCATATCCTTTCAGTATTGCCGCAGACTCCTGTTGCTTCTGTCCAGGTGTGGTAATACGATTACGAGCACCATAATATATGGTGGTTTATTATTTATTAGCCGATTGAGTACTAAGATCTTGTATAGACCCTTCACATAAAAAACTAGCAGCCATCGGGCCGACACTTAACAGCTATCACGGCGTCAGTGATGTCTCCGTCTCTCACTCATCTTCTGCTGTTCTCACACACATACTGATGCTACTTCATTAGGGTCCAGCAGAGACTCTCATTCCTTCGTTTCCCTTTGTAACTGTGATAAAAGCTCTTTTGTGTAGCTAATTACCCTTTAAAGCTAATTTAGCTTCTCTTCTCACCAGCTTCTCATTATCCTGACATTTAGCTTTAAGCAGATTAGAAACACCTGCTTGCTTCAGACCCTTTGGGTGCTCTTCCACTGACAGGGGATCAGCCCATCACAACACAGCACTCAGCATTTTACACTTCAGCCTGCAGTGGGATCTTGACTATTATAAAGTAATGGTGGTGAAGTGTGTGTGTGTGTGTGTGTGTTCTTTCAGGACAAGCACTGGGAGGTTGTGGACTTCACTAAGAGCAGGATTGAACAGTTTAAGAAAATCATCCCACTGATCACAGACTTCAGGAATCCAGCCATGAGAGAGAGGTGGGGGCGCGCACACACACACACACACACACACACACACACACACAACAAATCTCCCCAAAAGGACAAGGATTTCGGATATTGCCATCTTTGTGGGGACATTTTGTGGGGACAAATGTAGGGTTTACCAGGACTACACACACACACACACACACACACACACAGTGTTGCCAAGTCCGCGGGTAATATGTTTTTTCCTTGGGTTGATTTCCATCCAATTTTGGGCTACTTTTGAACTGGCCATTGGGCTACTTTAGTTGCACAGACCTGGCAACCCTGCACACACACACACACACACACACACACACACACAAATCATTTCCTCATCATAATGAAGTGTCATTCTCGCACTAATCCTCCTTATCAAGAGTGGTTCCTGACAAAAATGACACTGTCGTCTTTCATGTTGCCTCTTCTCTGGACAATCGCTCTTTATAACTTCTCTCTGTTGGAGAGATTGCCTTCTTTAGCTTGTGACCTGAGGTCTGTTGTGAAGTCCAGCTGATAATCATCAGCGGCAGAGGTTTGGTGCCGATTACTGTTCTAGGATCAGCTGTAATCCCACACCTTGACAGCCAGCCCTCAGTTACAGCTCGTCACCTTTCTGTATTCTATCACGCAGAGCATTTGTGCACTCCGGCGCCTTCCCTGCCAAGAGAACGCAACATTTTCCGCTCTTCGTTTTTCTGCTGCCCTGTCATTCGCTTCCTAAGCCATTTGATTGGATCTGGCATTCCCAAAACAACAGCCCATCGGCCCCAATCAGGCGTGCTACAACAGCCCTGGTGGAGACGCCAGAGACAGGCCTCACGTTCCCCTGATGACAGCCGGCTAATCACACTGATGTAACCCTCTGAAAGATCTGTGTTAGCGTCTCCCGCTGGCCGGCGCAGCACATCAGGGAAGCAGATGAAAATAAACAGACCTCCAGCCTCAGAAGTCCATGACCGTCAGAACGGGAAACGAGAAGAGCGAAAGAAAAACAGGCACTCGTAGGAGAGATCACTTCCCAGAATGCCTGGGCCCGGTCTCAGAGGGGCTAGTCATTGGCAGGATGGGTTTTTTGAAATAGCGGTGTTGTGTTTTGTTGAGGATCACATGTACTGTCGGTCTCTGTGGATTTCTTTGAGAGAAGACAACAAGCTGTGCGTCATGACTACGGGATCTCTCACGGGAGAATTCAATCTTTGCGCTGTCGTCGGCCGTCACACCTGTTTATCATGACAAAATCTGACCGTCAACATGACTAGTGACCAGTCTTTTGTGACTAACCAGCGCAGTCTTTCTTCAGCTCTCAAAATACTTTGAAGAGCACACATTCTCTGTAATTCTAGCTTAAGAATTCCATTAGATATTTTTATTATTGAATCACCAACCTCATCTCTCCTAAAGGCCTACACAATAGCTCTGATCCAAAACATAGACAGCTGTCTTCTAAGGCATCATCCTAACCACACTACATAGACAGAAACTCACATCTTACTCAATGGCCGATTGAGTTTTTTTCCTATAGGGTTTGGCATTAATGTTGCTAAGATAAATTAAGATGCTGTAAATAACAGGGTGATGCCCTTTTAAGGACACAAGCATGCTTTATTTTTAGTTACACTGAACTATGTTTGTATAGTTCACACATATATATTATATATATGAATATGAAATATTGATGCTGCTTTAGAATCAGCAGCATAATTAAGTTGCCTATCTTTTGGAAAAGCCTTTGATTTGGAAACTGTGTCTATGATGTCTTAAAATGCCGGCGCATAGGTTTTGGAATAGATCAAATGGCTTTTTTCACCCTATTTGAACTCAGATTCATATGTCAGTGTCAAAGGGTTTTGGCCAATCAGATTTTATCATCCAAAGATGGTGTGGATCTGTTTGTTTTAGACACTGGGATCAAATAAGGCAAGAGGTGCAACAGACGTTTGACCCGACCAGTGAAGACTTCACTCTGGAGAAGATTGTGGCTTTGGGTCTGGACCATCATGCCGAGCGTATCAGTGACATATCAGGAGCGGCCAGCAAAGAGCTCTCAATAGAACAGGTATGATATTCCCCTCTCTCTCAATCCCTCTTCAGAACTCTCTCTTTCTCATTTGGCTTCATTTCACTCTTTAAAAAAAAAAAAGATTCTTCAGTGAAAGATCCTACAGAGAACAATTTATTAAAAAAAAGTGCAACAACGAACCCTTTTCTTATCAGCTTTCCTCTGTTTTGGAGTTTGCTAATGTATGGTTAATTGCAAATTAACAGCGTCCTTCAACTTGGTAGCTTCTTCCTAGAGAAATCAAATTGTCCTTGACCCTTTGAGAGAGTATTTGAAAACACACTGAAACTTTCACTCAAAACTACCTGAAAACCAGTTTACTGCATCACTCTTGAGTAACATTATAAGTGGACCTCATGTGAAAAAATAAAATGGTTCAAAAGCATATGCTTTGATTCAAATATTATCAGGCTATAAAACAATTTTCAGTTGAAACTGGAAACTTCATTTCTTCCTTATTTCCCTTATTTCTTTTGTCGCTGTGAAGGACTGTGGGTTCATCAAGGTTCAATTCTCTCTGCTCCTCTCACAGTGCATAAGATCCTCAGAGGTTTGGTATGTTAAAGAGAAAAGGAAAGTCACTGTCAAGAGGATTATGGTCAGAGGTCGGGCTTGGAAGGTCAAAGATGATATCCTCAGGGTGACATCCTGTAGTCAGACCGCCCCAGTAGAGACTCTGGCCTCAGTGCAGATGTGGTTTTCATTAGCCAAACAGTTTGAATGGAAAGGAGATGGTGGTCTTGAGTACAAAGCTATCAGACTGTGGTGGGGTTATACTCAGAGTCAGAATTTTATTTATTTGAACCCTTAGGCCTGCATTCACACATTGCAGCAAGTGGCAGAAGCATCCTATAGAAGCAGCAATAAAAGTAGGGCTTCGGTGCTAAGTTTAATTTTGCATGTCACTCTATTGCCTCAGAGTAAAAGATAAGGTCAAAATCACAATGTGAGTCACAATTATGAAAAATAAATGTGTAGATGTGAGTTAATAAAGTCAAAATGCATGAATTAAAGTCACAATCACAAGAAATAAAGTTGCACACAAATTCAGTAATTGAGTTCAGTATATAGTAGAACCCTAGAGTTCTTGACTCGATTTTAAAGAACCCTTTATACCAAAAAGGTTCTATACAGTATAAGGAGAAATTTCTTAAAGGATTGCATAATACTTTCATGCTTAGTGGTTCTTTTGCGAGCTGTTTATTTCTCAAGATTGATTTAAAATTAATTAAAACAAAATGAATTCATTCAATCTAATTTATTAAATCAAAACTAAAAGAACCCTTTAAGGTTTTATATAGAACCTTTTCTTTTAAGAGTACAGTTACCAGTTACATTTCTAATTCATTAAAGAATAACATCACAGAAAATCAATTTCCACAAAAATATTGAACTGTTTTGAGCATTGATTATTATAATAAATGTTATTTGAGCGCATATTATTTTGATTTCTGAAGGATCATGTGACACTGAAGACTGGAATAATGATGCTGAAAATTCATTATTGCCATCACATGAATATATTACATTTTAAAATATATTAAAATAGAATAGTTATTTTAAAATGTAATAATATTTCACCGTATTTTTGATTAAAGTAAATGCAGCTTGGGAGAGCATGAGACTTCTTTCAAAAGCTTTTTAAAAATCATAACATGCCACATATTTTAACTGCTTGTTTTTCCTCTGGTGCGGAAACTGGCTTTTACAGATCTCATCAGAAAACGTGTCGAAATGCACTGTAAAACACAATATTTGCTTTTATGAAGAAACATAATACTTGATCGAACAACTCCCCTATTACTCCCCGTCTAAAAGACCTCAACATCAGGCCTGATGCAAATTCACAAACAGTACTTTTTAATTCAATAAGACTGACTGAATCCAGACGCTTTAAGCAGTTTATAGCTATGTTTTGGGTTCTGTGTAAATTGATTACCAATTGGATGTAAATGTCATTCCACCTCCTCATGTAAATTAGATTTCATGGCGATCAAGTTTGTAATAATCCTCAACGGCCCACTTCCGATATCCATTATATAATTTGTGTTCGAATTTTTAGCTGTTATTGGAAGAAATATGCAATGTGGTAAACCAGAAGTCACTTTATTTTCTGCACAGAGCTGTTACGCAGCAGAAATGCCTTTAGTGTAAAAGCACAAGCTACATTACATGCCGCTGACGCAGGATGTGTGAAACAGGCCTAAAAGTCGACTGGTTTATAGTCCTATTTTAGACTTGAAAAGGAACATTTCCTGGACTGTGTTCAGTAATAGTGCAGTACAGTATGAGCGCAGTGCTGCTGTCCCCAGGTCATGTGTGGCGGCCACAGGGGAAATGAGCCTTGCGCTTAATTTCCTTCAGAGCAGCCTTTACTGCCCCTGCAGAGGAGATCTGCCCTGTCCAGCTGTCAGACTGTGGGGGGCTGTACTCCTCCCCTCTCTCCCTCTTCCTCTCTTTCTTCTCACTCTCGGCCCAGGGAGATTCCCAGACGTTCGGCTCTGTGCTCGCAGAGGTTACAACAACACAGCTTTGGTTCGAGAGTGCCAATGGGAGAGCAAAGCCTCATAACCCCCAAAGCACAGAGCGGTTCACCCAGAAGTCACCCGCACAGAGAGAGAAAAGTAGAAAGACAGATAGAGTGTAAATGAGAAGCTTTACTGGCATGGCGCACCGCTGGTGTTCTGGAAAGACCCTGTCTCTGTCGTTTATTGTGAGGGGGAACTTTGCAGGGGCCCAGATGAATGATATTTCCCTGTCACAAGTCGCCTAGTCTCGCGTAGCCGGACCTTCAGACTGACGGTAGAAGGTCTGGACTCCATCACAGCTTTCATTGGCCAAGGACCGGCTAAGAGGAGTAAAGCAACCAATCACAGTTCATTTTGTTTCGTGTCATGTTTAGAGGCGTGAAAATGTAACAGTTATGTCCCTAGGATAACAGACCGGTGTGCATCTAATAAATTATTAATTCAAGAACGTTGTGCAAGTTTACTTCAAAATCCAGCGTTTAGTTGATTCTGATAAGCGCTCATTGTCACAGTTGCAAACACAACAGCTTTCTTCTTCTTCCATGAGGGGGTTTGGCTTCACACCGGACGCAACACACACGTCTCCCGGAAATCCTGTAGAATTCAATCAATCAGATGACGTCTTTGAAACTCCTAAAGTGTTTCGTATTGTGTGCCTTATGCATCAGATGTTCAGAGACTGAAACTTTAAGTCACCTAACCTCCTCGCAAAATAGGTAGCTCTAAAGGTGCAGTCACATGCAAAATTTTGCGGGCAAGAATGTCAATAGTATAGCGATTGTATGATTCACAGCTCACACAGAAATCAATTTCAAACCAAGCAGCTTTCTGTTGATCAAAACGGATTTGAAGATGAACCCATTGCCAAATCTGTGTGGAAAAATTGCTCTCAAGTGAAATTTATGATCGCATGGATTCCTTGAGTGGATGAGTGGATTTCATCCACCAAAAATCGCTGAACAACAGTAAATATGACCCCACCTTAATACAACAAAATCCCACCTGGATAGGCAGCTCACTATGTTTTGAAATGCACTTATGATGCCCAAAATTGCTGTCTTGTTAGGCAGCTCACTGGATTCAAAACACAGCCAATGTTCAAACGTGCCTTTGTCTTAAAATGTTGTCTATGCAAGCAGCTCATTGGGATTTAAAAGACTTCAAGTGTTTGAATGTTTGAAAGATGTCCAAAACTGCTGCTAGGTAGGTTGCTTGCTAGGTTTTGAAACACATCGTAAATAAGAAGTGTCACTGGCGGCTTTCTATTCATGTCTGGTGTTTCGATGACGTTTATGGTGGGGGGAACTTTGCGGGGGCCTCGATCAATGTTCTTTCACTGTCACTAGTCGCCTGACGTCCCCATGAGACCGATGGCTGCCCTTCCAGCTCTAATACAATCTGGCGTTCAGAGCTGAGGTGGAATGTGTCTGGAAAGATTAGTGCTAACATTAAAAAGCCTAATGTTGACCTCTCATTCACAGACACTGGAAGGCATCACGAAGACTTGGGAGGAAACGTCCCTGGACATCACACCCTACAAAGACAAAGGTCACCACAGACTGAGGTGAGATGCCAGACACTCGCAGGTGCTCAATAAGCAGAATGTTAAAAAGATGATAATGATGATTCAGCGTCCTGACGTGGCAGTGCATTTTACTTTATTTTATTAAAAAATATTGAATTTGCCGTGTAATTCTCCTCGGAAAAAGAAAACACAAGAACATAAAAATAGTGAAGATTAACACACACACACACACACACACACACACACACACACACACACACACACACATGTGTCTTATCCAGCTTGCTACCGCCTACAGCCTCCACCAGTAGATTTTCCATCTTAATTGGGGAGTTGTCCTAATTGACTTTGCCTAATTGATGTATTGGATTATTTTTTCCTGAGACGTAATTGTACCATAACTTTCATGCATTTGCAGTCGAGAGGTAATTGTTTTTTGTGGCAGACTCACTGTCCACCGAGGGACTGGTACTGGCTTCATCCATGCTGTTAAGGCACCGTAATGTGAATATGTTAGTGCCAAAAAACAAGCCATAGCCTAAAAAACACCATTCCTCAACATGATGGAGCTCCCTGCTGCAGGGAAGAACCGCCACACGTGAGGAGCCAGTAACTCCACATTATCATATTACTCTGTACAACCACCACTGAGAAAGAGTGAGCAAATGATACAAAACAATGGCTGTGTTTTAAAACCTAGTGAGCCACCTGCTGCCTACTGGACAGAATTATAGGCATATTCAAATGTTCTTATATTGGATTGAATGCGCTTATGATGTGCAAAAATGCTGTCTAGATAAGCAGCTCACTAGGTTTTGAAACACAGCCAGTGTTTGAATGGACCTTTTTGATACCTGGAAATGCTCTCTAGATGTTTAGCTCAGTAGGCTTTGAAACGCATCCAGTGCTTAAATGCACCTTTGATGCCCAAAAATGCTGTCTAGATGGGGTTGGGAAACACAGCCACTGGGCGGACAGCATTGCTCTCTCAGAGTCCGGTTCAAATCTGTGTTTGACAGCAAGCCATGTTTTCATACACAGATTAAATGGCTTATCAATGCCAGGGCACCTTAAGCTCTCACACAAACATAATTACTATCAATCTCCCTAGAGAGCAGGACTCAGAATGGCTGCTTTAAGCCTTCTGGGCAAACAAGTCAAGGGTCCAATGAAGAACATAAACTGACTGTCTGTGAATGAATAAACACTAGCGGGAAAATACATTTCTGTATTCAGATGAGCTCAAATGATGCTGTTGCTCTTTTTGGTTTGATTGAGACCATTCGGGAGTTTCACAAAGTGTTCATTGCTTACAATTATAGAAACGAGCTGTGAGCAGATAAGAACTGGAGAGGATGCTTTGTGCAAATGGCAGCCGCACAAAAGCTCTAATCTAACAGAATCATTTGTACAAGCAGTCTCCTTCCCAAGGGCTGAAAGTTTTCTGAAAATGCCTTCAGGCCTCTTCGTATTTAGCTGGAAGCAATGTGTGTGTGGAAATGAGCATGTTTATGTGCAAGTTACGTGGATGAATCGGACACGGGTCAGTCTTTGCCTGTTTGTCCGTTTTGATGTAACGGTAATTCCGTATTTTCGTTTTTTATACCTTAATGGAGGCTTGTTATTTAGATTCTTTCTTCATTTTCCATTTAATTTGTGTCTATTTTGTTCTTTATATGCGAGAGGGCCTCTGGAGACGAATTGGTCTATGATATTATGATATAATATGATTGTTTATGTGATATTGCACTTGCATATATATAAGTAAGTGCTATGTCCCCATTTTGATCGCTAACTAAAGGAGTTTGTACTTAGCTATAGTTTTGGAACAAAATTATTTCTAGAAGTGAGCTTAATCTGACAAAACTTGCAAGACGTGCATAAATAAATCAAATACTAAAATAAATGTAAAGGTAAAAAAAAAATGTATATAAATTACAATTAAAAAATTCTATCCTTCACAGCTACATTTTAATTTGCATCCAAATAAATATTCCCATAATCCTTGTGTTTGTGCATGTATGTTCAGTGAAGTCAAGCTTCACAATGATAACCAGGAAAATAAGATGCTAACAGATCGCACTACTGCTGTAGAGCATCTCTAAAAAGACAATAGTGTCATAACTCAGCTGGAGTCAGTTCAGGGTTGATTCAGTTCAGTTCAATAACTGTAAAGTCCATCAATTATGAAATGAGTTCAATTCAGCCATAAGCATCTCTACAGCTAGTGTCGCTATTCAGCTCGAGCCAGTTCAGTTAAAAAAAGTGTCGATGTTACAGTCAATCAGCTGTAAAGAATCTCTGCAGAGAACAGTGGTCTTCATCCAGCTCAAGTTATGTTCTTATCCAATAGTGTCAGTGACGTCAAGTCAATAATATGACTGAATATTAAGTGTTGCGTAATGCACTAATACGCAGAGTCATAAGGACTGCAGCTCTCTGTGCAATAACCTGTCATATGCGTCAGTGTCTCACACCCACCTGTGAGAGAGAGACAGAGAGAGAGAGAATCACAGGGGGTGGTGTCTCACTGACAGGTAGGCATGTGAAGAAAAAAAGCAAGCGAACAGAGATATATAGAGGAAGAGGGGGAAGATTTGTATTGCTTATTTCTAGAAGCTTAGATCCCGCAGAACAGAGAAAGGACGTGGTTTCTCTCTCTCTCTCTCTATCTCTCCCCCTGTTTAGCACACATACCTGCTGGTATTGTTCGTCCCCGTCAGTGCTGCAACAAAAGGTGGACATATGCTTTATCTTTAGTTCTCCCTCTCTTTGATCACTCTATTTCTTCCTCCTTTTTTTGTCAGTGGTGTATATGCCATATCAACAAACACTGTGTTTAGTATTCAGCGGTGGGGTTGTATACCGGGGACAGAATCAATTCCAAATTACTCAGGCTCTCAATAACGGACAGCCTTGTCCGCAAGGAGAAAAGATGATTAATGATGATAGTATTCATGATAGAAGCTGAAGTGTGCGCACGCACAGATGGAGCTGTGTGTGCGTTAATGGTCCTGCAGTGAAGAGGCTTTCTGTTTGCTGCCGTGTACTTATAATTGAGCGTTTCCACACATTTAGCAGGACGGAGTGCAAATCACCTGTAATTACCACCTACAGCCCTGCATTGTACGCACAGCACAGCACAGCACACACACACACATTGTATAAATACGGTGCACAGAAACATCTCTTTGCCTGCTCTGCAGTTGCAAGAGTGACAATTCTGCAGAATATGCATTAAAAGCGTCCTGCACCGAAGGTTCGACTGACCGAAAGACTCTCCTGGCAGTCGTAACGTAACATTGAGCGGAGCCGGTGGGCGAAACGCACTATAATGACGCGCGACAAAACGTGCATGCAAACACTTTTAGCATATGCTACTTCTTGTAATTAAATTAAGACACATACGCTTCCCTTACCAACACTGTATTTTATTTAAAAATTTGCTACAGCGCACATTTTTGTCCTGACGCACATATGCTGCTGTTCGGACGCACACACACAGCTGCGGATGAACGTCCCAGCCCTGCTTTGCTGATGACTCTGTATTTTGAGAGGTCATGTCCACCTCTATGTGCTTTTCTGTTAGTTTACTAAAAAAGTGTGTGTTTGTGTGATTTTCTAGTAACAATAAGCTGTTCAAAATGAAGTGAGATGCCTATCTAGACAGCATTTTTAGACATCACTGGCTTCAATTTGAACGTCGGAACACGGTCTAGCTAGGCTGTTTACTTGGGTAAGCAAGACTAAGTTTACTCTATATAAACAGAGAGCATAGCTACACATTCCAACTCACACATGGGGTGCGTCTCAATCAGCTCTCTCGTTCAGTAGTCAGGGCTCTGATCATAGAGACCGCCGTTTTAAAGGCAAAATCCTTCCAGTGCAATAAAACATTTGCTCCCTAAAAAGTCCCACAATGCACTGTGAAAACCAGGGAGCATTTATGCTCACTGTGTTCCCTTAACAGAAGTTCTAAAGTGCGAAACAATCACGAGAGCCAACTCACCACACATGACACGGTTTTGAAAAAACAGTATTGCAGCGTAAACACACATGGTACTGAACATAATCTAGCTAACATTTATAATTAATTTATGACTGAAAAGTTGCAGGTATATGTAACAATATGTAAAGTATTTAAATTACATTAGAAAAATAAATGTGAGAAAATGACGTCGTGAAGTTGTACAACAAGGATGTTGTCATGGGACATAAGGAACTAGGAGCTGATTGAGACGCACCCATGCTCACTTTCTCTAGATGATCAGCATTCATTACTTCATAATGGCTTTAGGGCTTTAAGCGTGACTCATTGGGTCAGGGTAGTACAACACTGCCACCTAGTGCGTGTGCATTTGTGTGTTTATATGTGCATATTCACGTGTATGTGTGTATGAGATAAAGGAAGCAGGAATGTCCTGACCATCTGCTGCACATTAGAAAGAGACCCCCAGCCCAATTCAATTAACATCCACAAGCCCCCTGATTGGGCTCAGAGAGAAAGAGAGAGATGGGAAGAGAGATAAAGGGCATTGCAGGACTCGCTACCCTGCAGTAAATATGAGTTTCACCATTCTCTGATGAACTCCCTGCCTGACAGCGGGGCGAATGGAAAAGTCATTGATCACGCACACACACACACAACAGTAGACTCATTCAAAGAGGTTATGGAATCGTGTTTGCTATGAAACAGAGGGAGAGATAAATAAGCACTCTTGATCTACGAGCATGTTTGAAGTTTTGTTAAAAAAAGACAACATTTAAAATGGAGATGCCCGAGGGAACATTTAGTTGGTGATTCTCTTTATGATTTACCCTTCTTGCTGCTTATCTTTTTAATTTAAATCTGACAAACCTTTACAGGATGTCCCCTATTTTATTTGTAACATATTTACATGCATTTTAGTGCCTGCTCTTTTGTTTTATTTATCCATTTATTTATTTTATTTTTTAGAATAATTCGATCAGTGTGTACTCTGTAGTAATTATAATGAAAATGATTGTATGTCCTAAATTAAATTGACAGCTTGAAATGA